GCGGAGGAGCAAAGCCCTGGCGGGCCCAGCTCCAGCAAGCGGCACAGCCCGGAGCCCCTCGTCGCCCGAGTCTCCTGGCAGCGGGGGTGCAGGGAGTCCCGTGGGTTGCCTACCCCTGATGGGGCAGAGACCAGTGCGTGCAAGGGCTCGGGTCGCTCCTCCAGCGCCCGGGCCGGCCGGATCTGGCCCCTGCCCCCCCGCGTCTCCCATGCCGTGCACCCGGTGCCGGGGGCTGCGATTCCCTCCCGCTCCCCGTCATGCTTCGGGACTTTCCCCTTGCTTACAAACGTGATTAAGGCTCCGCGCTACCTAATCCATTACCGGGAGATTAGCAGGCGGGGCGGCGAAATAAATAATGATATTTAACATTTTGTAATAACAACAATTAACCGGTAAATAATGTCTCTTAAACCGCAAAAGCCAGAGCGAATTAATTCTTCTAATTAGCTGTCAGGGAACCAGAAACACGGGGCTCCGCACGCGTGTGCGTGCATGCGTGCGCGTGTCCCGGCTGCTCGCGCCGAAGTCCCAGAGCTGCCCGTGGAGGGGGAGCCCCGGCCGTGGCGCACGCGGTGTCTCTCCCTGGCAGCCAGAGCCCTCGGCCACGTGTTCCCCGTGCCCGGCATGTCCCTGGCACTCACACCCGACCGGGCACAAAGTCTGCCCGGTGAGCGGCTCCCCACCGCGGCGCTGGTCCTTGCTGAGGGCACTGGAGACTGCCAGTCCCTTGCTCCACAAGTGGGGGGACGTCCCGTCCCCAGGGCCCTGCTGCCGAGCCAGGCGGTGCCTCCGGAGCGAGGGGATGGATGCCGGGTGCCCACAGACAGGCTGGGGTCAGCGCACGAGATCCAGGCCAAGCCGCCTGCCTGGCCGGGGCACCAGGGCGGGCTGACCAGCGCCTGCCCGCAGCAGGGTGCTGCTGGCCGGGGATGCCCTGCCTGAGCAGTGCAGGGGCCTGGCGGCAGCGCTCCATGGCACAGAGACACGGCGACGAGTGGGGGAGCCGCGCCAGCCGGGAAGGACGAGGGGAGCAGCTGCTCGGAGCCGAGAGGAAAGGCCCATGCGGGCTCTCCGGCAGGTCAGCAAGGGCCCTTCGTTGCCAGCCTCGGAGGGGCACAGAGGGCAGTGGCACCCGGGGGAGCCAAGCGGGGAAGCGTGGGGGGAGCTCCCCCCAAGGGGAGACAAGACAGCTGCTGCCCACCGCCTCCCACGTGGATGGAGCCGCCCCGGGCGGCATGTGCTCGGCCTCGTGGCTGCCGGAGAACCGCGGCTTCCCAGCTCAGCCCGGCCAGACTGCAACACAGGCTTATCCTAGGCTCATAGGAAATGAGGGTGGGAAGGGAGCTCAGGAGGTCCAACCCCTGCTCCAAGCAGGACCAGCCCCGACTGCATCATCCCAGGCAAGGTTTGTCAACCCAGGTCTTAAATACCTCCAAGGATGGAGACTCCCACCTCCCTGGGTAACCTGTCCCAGTGCTTTTCTACTCTCCTCGGGAGACAGTGTTTCCTAATATCCAACCTCAACTTCCCTCGCTGCAGCTTGAGCCCATTGCTCCTTCTGTTGCCTGCCCCCACTGAGACCAGCCCGGCTCCGTCCTCTTTGCAGCCCCCCTGCAGGGAGGTGAAGCTGCTATTCAATCCGCCTGTCTTCTCTCCAAACTAAATCAGCCCAGTTCCTTCAGCCTCTCCTCCTAAATCCTGTGCCCCAGCCCCCAACCACGTTCGTTGCCCTTGGCTGGACTCTCTCCAACTTGTCCACGTCCTTTCTGCAGTGGGGGGCCCACAGCTGGACGCAGGACTCCTGACATGGCCTCCCCCATACCGAACAGAGGGGGAAATCACTGCCCTCGATCTGCTGGCACTGCTCCTACCAATGCAGCCCCGTAGCCGTTGGCCTTCTTGGCGACAAGGGCTTCCCGAGCATCACCCCCACCCGCTTCCCTGAACGATGCATCTGCTGGCGATGGACACCCCGAGCCCCTCTCCTGTCCCCTCCCGCCAGCGTGCAGCGTCCCCTGGGCTCTGACCACCTCCGACCTGTCCCATGGGGCTTCTCCTCCTTGGCTTTTCTTTTCTCCTGCTACAAATGAAAAGATACACACGCTTCAGATCAATGGTGAAGCCAAGCGCTGGCAGCTCCGGCCGGGCGCCGCGGCGGCACAGGCAGGGGAATACGCTGCCAGTTGCTGCTTTCCGGGGATCAAATGCAGTTTGCAGAATCCTTTGTATGTATTATTCATCCCATCAGTGAGACACGGGCGTCTCGGCGCTACCAGGGTTTTTCTATAGAAATCAAAAAAGGGGGAAAAACCCACAACGGCCCCTGCGCCCCACAGTCCCCAGTCCCAGCACCAGCCTGCTGCAGACCCCAGCATCCTTTCCTCGAGAAGGGGCCTGGCGCTGACGCAGGAGCAGGCTCCCATGCAAGGCCCTAAATCACCGGCTGTCTCAGGGAGAAAAATGGCTACAAAATACTTTATGGATGTAATAAACGGCAGCGGAAAAGCCCGTTTCCTTTGAGGCGGGTGGCACGGCTCCGTGAGCTGCAGACGGATGGGCTCTCGCAGCTGCGGAAGGGACTGAGAGCGGCACCGGGCAGCGCCGGGGGTAGGGAACGACCTGCAGCGCCGCAGGAGCCCCCCGAAGTGAGCGGGAGCTGCCACAGGCTCCTCCTGTGCCCCGGCCCCCAGGTGGCAGGAGGAGGTGGCAGGAGCTGCTTGGAGCCTTGCAACATTGCTGGCAGCGATGGGCCCATTTCCCTGCCCGCAGGAGAAGGCAGAGGCCGGTGGGGGCCCAGACAGCGAGTGCTACCACCCTAGGGCCAAGTCTTTGCCTGGCCTCCAGAGAAGGGATGTTCTGTGCCCGGAAAGCTGAGGTCAAGGAGGCTTTGCCCAGAGCCCCACGTGCCCTGGGTCCAGCCCTGGTTGGAGCGGCTCAAGGGAGAGAGAGCAGGCCGGGAGCTGCCCCGGCACATCCCATCACCAGGCTTGGCCGGGCCTGGGGGCTGCCTGGAGCCCCCTCCACAGCTGCTGGCACATGCCCCAGGCTGCCCCTGCACCAGCACCCAGCAGGAGCCGGCCCTGGGCACCTGCCGGCTGGTGCCTAGACCCGCCTGCGAGCAGAGATGCCGGCACCCGCCCCCCAAAGCCAGCGCTTGGCGGCCTGCCCCCCTGCCTGGAGGGGCTGGAAAGAAGCAGCAATAGCTGCTCTGTGCTCAGGCTAAAAATACCCGCCGCTACAAAGCAGCAGGAAGGAGATGAAAGGCACGAAAGGGAGGCCGGCAGCGCGCCATTAGGAGCGGATCGGCTGCCTGCCACCGAAGTGCCCGAGCAAACGCCATGCCCGACCCCCTGGCCGGTGGGGGGGCACAGCGGGTAAAAGCCCCTCGGCCCCCTGCCCGAGGGCCAGCCACCTCCATGTGCCAGGCTCGTGGGTCTGCACGTGGCTGGAGGCAGCACGGGGCGGGTGCCGGGTCGGCCGGCGGTGCCAGCACCTGGCGCCGGGGCATCGCTCATGAGCTCTTCGGTTCCAGCAAACAGACGAGCGCGAGCCCTGCAGCCCGCGTGGATGCAGGGGGGGGTCGGGCAAGGCCAGGGGGTTATTCCCCCTGCCGCTGCCCCCAGCCCAGGAGCAGGCTGACCCCAGCGCTGTGCGGGCCCAGGGCCTCTGGGGGGTGCGGGGTCCCGGGGCGGCCCCCAGAGCCGCAGCTGCGGCCACACGGAGGGCGAGGGAGCCCCCCGCCTCCACCGGCAATTAAACCCGCGCCTGTTTCTGGAGACAAATTGGAAAATGAGCCTCAGCCGCCGCGCGGCGCACAGCGAGCCCCGCACCCGCGCCACGCGCTGCCGTCGCCAGCTCAATTACGCCGCGCATCGCCTGATTAAGATGTTGATGTGTAAACAGCGCGGAGTCCCCGGGGAGCCGCATGGGCAGGGCCGCCTGCCGGGGGCTGCATGGCTCTGGAGCCCCCTCCCCAGCCTGGCGGGGGGCCACCGCCTCCCCAGCCAGGGGCTCAGGCTGCATGGGCCCTGCGCCTCTCCAGGCTGGGGAGAGGAAGGGCCCAGCCGGCTGCACGGTGGAAGGGCTCTGCCTGCCCCTGCCAGCCCCGGGGCGGGGGCCCGATGCCAACGGGGGGGCACGCGGCAAATGACAATGCCCCCAGGCACGCAGCAAGCCGTCCGCAGAAATTGCCTTCCCCGCAGGCTTTCACTTATCTCATTATCCAGCTCCTAATGTGCTTCCCCCCCTGCTCCCCGCGCTCGCTCGGTGCAGAATCTTATTAGCGGCTTCGCAGCGGCGAGGGCACCGTCATCTCGCCCCCTCCAGCGTTCATTACCTTCTCTAATAAAGGCAATCACCGTCGTGACGGGCGCAGCAGCAAGGCACTGCTGCAGCGCGGTGATCGCGCAGGGGAGCTGCCTGCGGGTGACCCCAGCAGGCCCACAGCCCCCCAGGCCGGGCAGCGGGGTAGCACTTGCCCTGGCAGAGCCCCCAGACCCGGGCTTGATGGAGCCCAGAGTCCTGGAAAGGCGGCAATGCCACAGGCAGCGCCTCTGGCTCCTCTCCCTCTCTCCTGGGGTTGCCCCCTGCGTGGGCGTGGGCGAGGTTTTCCTCCCTTGGCCGTAACTCCATCCCTTGGCCTCATGCTCTCTGGGCCCATAAATCACAGGCTGGGCCCCGGGTGGGCAGCGCAGGGCTGGGCATCTCCTGCACCAGGTGCTGCTTGCTGCTGCCCTGATGCTTACAAACGCAGCATGTTAATGCCAGGAAGGACCAAAATAAATCAAGCTGCTCTGCAGGCTGGCGGCCGGGGGGGGCTGCAGCTCGGCCTGCTTCCCTTGCCCCAGCGGGTGCCCTCTGGGTGCCGCAGCAGCCCCCTCCATCCCCACGGGCACAGACGCAGGGCCTCCCACGTGCTCGGAGCCGCGTGGGGCCGGAGAGGGGGGGGACCAGCCAAGCCAGTGGTTAACTTTGGCCCGGACCTTGGCCCCACTCCCGCCCCTTGGCCCGGCGCCCAGGGCCTGAACATGGCTGCTCCGAGCTCGGCCGGCAGCTCCCTGTACGATGCCATCGTCGTAGGCGCAGGGATCCAGGGCTCCTTCACCGCCTACCACCTCGCCAAGCAGGGCAGGAGGGCCTTGCTGCTGGAGCAGGTACCAGCCCCCCGGCCCCCCCTGCCTGGGAGCCCCGCGAGCGGGGCAGGCTCCGGGCCGGGGGAAGCTGGAGCAGGAGCAGCGCGGTCTGGTGCCGAACCCCGCGGGCTCCCAGCTGGCCCGGAGCCGTGCCAAGGCTCGGAGGCTCCTCAACCCCCGTGAAAGCGCTTAGAGCCACGTGCCCGACGCCCCGCGCCCGTCTCGGGGGGACAAGCGGCTCCCTCTCTCTGCTGATGCAGGGGCCTTGGCAGAGCTCCCAGAGGAGGGCGGCTCGAACCCGGCAGCTGGGGCTCGCTCGCTGCAGCTGGCCCGGGGCCCAGGCTGGATGGCAGGTGCCCCGCGGCAGGGAGAGGCTGGCACTCGCGGGGAGGAGGACGTTGGGACCCCTGCCCCACTCCCCGCCGGCCCACCGCCTACCAAGGCTGCTCTCCTCTGTGCCGGCAGTTCCCCCTCCCTCATTCCCGGGGCAGCTCCCACGGGCAGAGCCGCATCATCCGCAGCACCTACCCGCAGCCGCACTACACCCGCATGATGCCCGAGTGCTACCGGCTCTGGGCGCAGCTGGAAGCAGAGGCGGGCACCCAGCTCTACAGGTGAGAGCGGACGTGCCCGGGGGCAGGAGCAGCCGGTCAAGCTGGGACCATTTCCCCCTCTCCGGGGTCCCATCCAGCCGTGGCCATGGACGGGTCCCCTGCACCCCCTGCATGTGCTAGGATGCTTTCCGGCCCGGGGGGCAGAGGGCCCGGCAGCCTGGCCTCCCTGGCCCCACAGGTCTCTGCCCACCCCAGGCTCTGGTTTTGCTCCGTTTTTTAAATGAAAACACACCAAACTGCCCCATTTCTGATATGCAAATGTCGCCTCCTCCAATCAGGGAGCTCGCTTGCCCCTTGGGCTTGGGGTCTGTGCCGTGGCATCCTGCCCCACAGCCTGGCACTGGCCTGCCCTGTGACTAGGGCGGCCCCTTGCCCGCTCACCTGCAGGAGAGCCCCTAGCCTGGGCCGAGGGCTGCGGCCATGCCCACCTCTGCCCCTTGCCTGCGCCACGCGGCCAGCCCCAGCCCCCCGCGACTCGGCCCAGGCTCCCCTGGGCACCGGCCGTGGCCCTGACGCACCAGGGCAGAAGGGGAAGAGCTCCAGCGCTCGGGCCCAGGCACGGCCCGAGAAGCCAGCTGCAAACGGGGGCTGCGGTGCCCCCAGCCCCCGACGGCCCACGCGGCCTCCAGAACGACCGGCCCAGGCTCCCCGAGCTCATTTGTAGCCGAAGCCGGAGCCGAGGATCAGCATCCAGGGCACTGACTCGGGCTCCCCCCCATCCTCCATGCCCTGAGCTCCTGCCCGCGGCGGGCCTGGGCCCCCTGGAAAGGGCTGGACCCCGGGCAGGATCGGGCCCACCAGCCCGCGCCGATCCCCGCTGGGAGCTGCGGCACGCTGCCTGGCAGAACAAGACAGATTGGGACGGTGCGTAATTTATTTGACTCTATAAAGGAAGAGCCATTAAGGAAATAAGCATGGAAATGATTCTCCGTCTACTGGGGTCATGGCTAATGGAGCTATCCATCTCGGCAGGCGGGCGCAAGGAGGCAGCCCTTGCGGTGGGGATGGGCCGCCCGGCTCCCTGCCTCCCTCCTTGCCCGGGGCGGGCGCGGAGCCCTGGGCTGGTCTGCCTGGTCCAGAGGGCAGAGCCGGACGCCTGGGTCCCTGGGAGCGCAGCTGCTGGCACAGGGCCCGGCCGGCCGGGATCAGAGCCATGCAGAGCTGCAAGGAAGAGCCGGCCTCTCCTGGCACAGCCACAGCCGCTGTCCTCGGCCCCGGGGGCATCACCCGCTCCGGGGACCGGGGCCAGGACACCTGGGTTCTTTCCCTGGCCCTGGGCAGGGCCCTGGCGGGAGGGTGGGGGTCGTGACACTGCTCTCTCCTCGGACGCAGCCTGGGACGGGAGCGGGCAGTACCCTGCCCCCGGGAACACCCTGCCCGGCTGGGAGATGGGCCCCGGGCGAGGCACCCGGGGCAGCGGTGCACGTGCAGCCCCCAGTTGCCCAGCCGTCCTGGTGCAGCAGCCCTGAGACCACGGTGCAGCCGGCCCTGAAACGCTGCGAGGCCGAGCCCCCCGCTTGCAAGGGCTTCACTCCCCTGTGACGAAACCCGGGCGAGAGGAAATGGGGGCAGGCTCCAGACCTCCTCCCCTGGGCCCGGGCAGGAGGCTGCTCTGCGTGATGCCCAGCTCTGCTCTCCCCCATGCAGGCGGACGGGGCTGCTGGTGCTGGGGGCGGAGGGCAGCCCAGCCTTCGGGGCCTGCCTGCAGAGCCTGGCCCAGCACCGCGTGCCCCGAGAGCTGCTGTCGGCGCAGGAGCTTCCCCAGCGCTTCCCCGGCGTGCGGGCGTACCGCGGGGAGACGGCCGTGTTCGAGCCCACCGCAGGCGTGCTCCGCGCGGACAAGGCGCTGCGGGCCGTGCAGGTGGGGCAGGGGGAGTTACCCCCGGGCAAGGCTGGCCTCGGCTCCCTGTGCCCCATCCTGGGACAAGGGGTGGCTGTGAGGGGCTGAACCCCGGTCTGTGCCCGGTCCAGGACCTGTTCCTCCAGGCCGGCGGGGCCCTGCAGGATGGCGAGAAGGTTGTTGCCATCGAGCCGGGGCCCGTGGTGACCGTGAGAACCAGCGCAGGGGTGCACCGGGCCGGGAGCCTGGTGATCACCGCCGGGCCATGGACCAACAAGCTTCTGGCCCCGCTGGGGCTGCAGCTGCCCCTCCAGGTGAGAGCGGTGCCCGGGCAGCCAGGGCTGCACTGGGGGAGTTGCCGGGCTGCTACTTGCACCAGCACCCGTCTGCAGCCTGGCCACACGCGTGGCTGCACGTGTGTTGCACGTGGCCCTGCTGTGCCTGGGGCGGAGGGTGTCTGTCTCACCCGCTGCAGCCGGGAGCGCGGGGAGCTTGCAGCTGGGACCCTCCTGCCCAGTAACCGCTGCGCCCTCCTGCCCCAGCCCCTGCGTGTCAGTGTGTGCTACTGGAAGGAGAAGGTGCCTGGGACCTACGGGAGCCCCGCGCGCTTCCCCTGCTTCCTGAGCCTCAGCACCAGCCAGGCGCCCCATGACATCTATGGGCTGCCGGCCGGCGAGTACCCGGGGATGGTGAAGGTGAGCACGGCTGGGAATGCGGGCCACGCGGGCACACAAGCACGTATGCACACACACATGTGGACACGTGCAGAGGCACACTACACATGCACAGGAGAGGGGACCCACGCATGTGCACAAGTGCAGCACACATATGCACATGCGTGCTCACAAACACACTGCTAGTGGCACACACTCAGTTGGGGCTGCCCGTGACGTGGGTGTCTCCCTGCTCGCCGCCAGGTCTGCTACCACCACGGCCGCCCCGTGGACCCCGACGAGCGGGACCGGGAGCCCGAGGGCTCGGCCCTGCCCGACATCCAGATCCTGCGCGGCTTCGTCGGCCAGTACCTGCCTGGCCTGGAGCCCGAGCCGGCAGTGGTGGAGAGCTGCATGTACACGGTAAGGGGCGCTGGTAGGGGCAGGCCGCGGGCAGCTCCCCCCCAGCTCAGGTGGGCACTGGCCCGTGCACAGACCTCACCCTCAGACCCAAGTCCAGGGTCAAGGGCAGCTGGAGCTGGGATAGGACCCAGGAGTCCGGGCTCCCAGCAACCCCCTTGTTTGACCCACTGGACCCCGCAGATCACCCCGGATGAGGACTTTGTGCTGGACCGGCACCCCCAGTTCAGCAACATCATGATAGGGGCTGGCTTCTCAGGTAAGCGGGGTGGGGGCCACAGCTGGGCACCCTGAGGGGCACAGACAGCTCCCTCCTGGGCCAGGCACCCCCTTCCCTGCTCCAGGACACCCCCAAATGTACATGTGCCCCCATGCCAGGCTCTGGGCCCACCACCACCCCCTCCCCCCAGCCACAGGGCAGAGCAGCTCCAGGCTCCCCTACGGGCAGGGGCAGGGGCAGGGGCAGTGCCTGGGACACTGTGGGCAGCGGGGAGGGCAGGACGCATGGGGTAGCCGATGGCACTGCGGGGGCTATTCCCACCTCTGGAGTCTCCGCTCTCCTCCTGCCTGTGCAGGCCATGGGTTCAAGCTGGCGCCGGTCGTCGGGAAGGTCCTGTGCGAGCTGAGCCTGGGGCAGGCGCCGTCCTGCAACGTGGAGCCGTTCCGGATCCAGCGCTTCCCCGGCCAGCGCCGGGCGGCCCTGTAGGGCTTCACGGACCGCCAGGAGCCACTGCCCAGCCCAGGGACCCGCAGAGGAGGCCCCAAGACACCTGGTGCCCCCACGGGAAGCTGGAGGAAGACGCTGCCCCGGAGCCCTGCCTGCCCACGTGAAACTGCCCCTGCCTGCCTGTCTCCGCCTGCGTCCGGGGCCGGCCGGAGCAGCCGCCCGGAGCACAGGACACATCCAGCGCGGCGGGCTGGGCTCCAGATGGGCCGTGGGCCCGGCTCGCTCCACCAGCGCCAGGCCCAGAGCAAAGGTGCCAAGAGCAACAAACCCCGTCCAGGCCCCGGGGCTGCTCCAGGCCCTGGCAGTGCAGCCCAGGCTGGGACCTGGAGCCTCAGCCCACGGGGCCGGGAGCTCCCTGAGGCGGGTGGGTGGGTGTGTGAGGGGTGGGGGGCACTGGAAAGGGCTCCGGCACAGGGTCATGCAATGCTCAGGCCTGGTCTAGGACCGGGACCTCGGGCAGCTCCCTGCTCGTCCAGCCCCGGGGCTCCCAGCCGACTCCGGCGCCCGTGTCCTAGGCAGGTGGGCAGCAAGACACCCAGGGGCTGTGGCCGGGACAGGTGCAGCGCTGAGCCCCCTGCTTCACCTGGGTAGATACCAAGGGCTTGGTGCTGAGCATGGAGCCGGGGGGATGCACCAGGTACCCCAGGGCTGGCGTTGGCTCCAGGCTCTGCAGGGCTCCCGAGCCCTGTCCCCTGCCGGCACCCGGAGCTGGCGCCTCCCCGGCACTGCCGTCTGTGCCGTGGCGGCGCGCGTCCACGCCAGACCCTCAATACGGTACGTGGCCAGACTCATGAGGACGGAGCCGTCCTGGCAGGGAGAGACGCTGCGTCGAAGCAAGTGAAATGTTTTAATGTTAAATGTGCCGTTTCATTATCGTTAGATCGCCCGCGCCTAATGAGAGCGCATTAGTGCGGCGGCGGCGCGGCGGCGCCCGGGGCCGCGGCTGCCCAATTTGTTTGAGCTCGCAGCCAGCTCTTCCCTGGGCAGCTGCGGGGCACGCCGCTGGATCGGGGCCCTGCCCACCGATGCCCGCATGGCCAGTGCAGCCGGGGGACCCCCAGGCCCCCGTGAGCCAGCCAACCCTTTGGCCGGGGTGCAAGTGCCAGCCTCGGGCACCCTGCTCCTACCCAGGGAGTCGTGCCCGGCGCGGGGGGCTGGCTGGTCCTGAGCCCCCGGCCGCGGTGGCTGCTCTCTCGGGGAGGCTGCTAACGGATTGGGATGCTGGGGTGTATGAGACTAACGAGCCCGCGGCTCCCCCAGCACAGCACCCTGTAGGGCGCAGCGGGCAGTGAGAGGTGGATAAGAGCTGCATGCCCGAGGGTGCCCGTCTGCAGCTAGCAATCTGCGCGTGCGTTAGGATGCAGAGACTATTTCAGCCCCCCACGGCCATGGAGCCCTCCCAGGCTGGGGCACGGCTGGGGGAGCCTCGCGTCGGCCCTGCGCCCCCTCCCAGGCTGGGCTGGGGGCCCGGAGAGCCCAGCCCCCCCCGGGTGCTGCTTGGCTGCGGAGGAGAGTGACTGCTCAGCACATTTCCCCGCCAAGGCACCAGCCCATAAATCAAGCACGAGGAGCGGGCTAGAAATGTGCCTTGCCTTGCACTTTCCCGCCTGCCTGCTCTGGGGACAGCTCCACAAATGCTGCTGTGAGCAGGGGCCGGGGCCGGCTGCAACACGGTGGGCACAGGAAGGGCTGGCATGGCTCAGGGCTCCCCATCGCCTATGGCCAGGGCTCGCCCGCCAAAGCCGAGCCTGGTGGGCAAGGACAGGGGGTCCCCATGGCCTGCAGACTCTGAGCTGGGGTCTGCAGGTGCTGCCCAGGGTCTGTTCGGAGCCACCCTGGGCCCGGGACGGGCGGCAGAGCCACCCCCTGCACCCCACCGTGGAACGGGCAGGAGTGCGGGACCCCCACCTCCGCCAGCTGTCTCCCATGGCTCGCCAGTGCCGCCCAGACAGGAGTGCAGCCTTTGGAGGTGCCCAATGGCTGCAGGAGGGCACCCTTTGTGCCCCAGCCACGTCTGGGACGGCCACGAACCAGGCCCAAGCCCCTGCAGGGGTGCACCACCATGCACGTGGCAGGCACAGGCAGCCCCGCGCTCCCCGCCCGCTGCGCTGCTTCGCAGACGGTTATTTATGCGGCGCCGCTTCTCTCCAGATGACTGCGAGGAGCAGAAAGCAGGTGGGCCGGCCCGCGGCGCCGGCACGCGCCATCTGCTCCCAACGAGACGAGATTTGTGGCCACGATCTCCCACGTGCTTGCTTCCAGGAGGGCCCTCGGCACCACACTGGGATCGGCGCCCGGCCCTGCGCCATGCCATGCCAGCTCCAGCTCCCCCAGCCGGCGCGGTGCCACGAGCGAGACCTGGCATCACCAGCCGTAAATGACATTTATTTTAATATTTAACAGAACCGGACAGGGAAAGACGCACAGCTGAACTAGTGCAAAACAGACAGACAGCGCCGGGCCCGGGCGACTCCACCCCGCGGCGGCCGGGCCAGGCGGGCATAAATTAGCAGAGGGGGACGTACAGGTCGGGCTGGCCCGGGGTCCCGTGGCAGTAGTTGAGTCCTTGGGGGGGGGCAGGGATGTTTCCTTGGCATGAATTCGGGCAGCTCGTTCAGAGGTGGGCGGGGGGCGGCCGCGGAGACGTTGCTGCCAGCAAAGGAGTGCCAGAAGTGAGGAGGTGCCACGGCGCGGGCTCTCCGCCGCCCCGTAGGCATGTGCGTGTGTGCGTGCATGGGTACATGTGTGTGCATGTGTGGGCTGGGGCAGGGTGACATTCCCATGTGCTGGCACAAGCGGCTGGGGAAGAAAGTAAAGCAACCCCCCCATCTCTCTCCCTGAAAGCCGGGCTCCAGGCACTGGGCCCACGTGCAAAGGGCGGCAGCAGCGTGAGCGTGAGCGTGCACCTGTGTGTGCGACACGGCCCCAGAGGCACAGCGCTGCTGCCCCCTGCCCGTGGACACAAAGCGCCGGCGCCCGGCGAGCCAGGGAGCTGGGCGCCGTCTTTGGCTCAACGAGGAGGGAGAAGGCGAGAGCAACCGGGGGTGACGGTGTCAGATGGAAAGGCAGCAGGCACGGAGGGGAAAAGCCCCCAGAGCCCAGCCCAGCCCCTGCCCCGAGACCCACGCGGCCCCGCTGCAGCAGCCAGGGGGTGGCCACGGGGGGGATGTGGCAGGACCCCAAGGAGCAGTCCCCCCGAGCGCCCCTGAGCCGGAGTCCAGTCCCAGGCGGGGCTGATTCCCCCATTATTGCAGCCCGCCTGGTGCGGGGCAGCGGGGCCGGAGGGGCAGGGGCAGGACGGGAGCTCTCAAGAGGGACGTTTTCCACCCTGCAGAGATCCCGGCTGCGGCCCGGGGGGCGAATGCAGCATTTCCCATGCGAGGCGCTTGCTGAGGGGCTGCGGCCAGGCGCCCCTGGGCTGTGCTGCCCAGGAGGAGCGAGGGGCCGGCCCGACGCTGCCCGCGGCTCCGTGTTCCCCCCGTTCCACGCAGCGGCCGGCTGAGGCTGCGGACGTGCCGCAGCCGTGCCGGAGCCCTGCCCTCCCGGGAGGGCTATGCTGAGGAGTCGGCGGGCGGGCCCTCGGCGTCGCTGTCGCTCAGGTAGCTCCGGGAGCAGGCCCGGGGCCTGGACGTGCTCTCGAAGGCGTCTCGCTCCTCGTCCGACTTGTCGTAGGCAAAGGGTCTCCGGGACCCGGGGGGGCTGCAGAGAGAAACACACGGTTAGCAGTGCCGGGAGCGTCGCAGGGGCTGGCGCGGCGGGCCTGGTCCCGATCCGCACGCTCCCTGCCGCCCAGGACGCCACACTGGAAAGGCCTCTCTCAGGCCGGCACTGGGTCAGCACCTGCTACCTCGCCCTGGCCCTCAACACCAGTCGTGGGTCGGCTCCTGGCACCGGTGATCTGCACATGGAGAAGCTGCCCAAGGCATGAGGTGCCGTGGCCGGGCTGTGCCACGCACCGGAACGGATGCATTTGGGACGCCATCTCCACAGACACCCATGTGCCAGGGTCGCTGCCCGCAAGTGCCCACGTTGGGGCGGCCGGGGGCTCCGCGCACACAAAAACCCTTTGCAAACTCAAATACAGCCACAGATTCATGCCCGCTGAGCCAACACCCCGTCGAGCTGCAGGGAACAGGGCTTCTGCCCTCTGACTTCCATCACGCAGGCGCAGGCCCACACCTGCCCCTCCTTCAGTGCTAGCATCAGGCAAGAGGTCCCACAGCCCCAGAGCAGCTTCCCCGCGCCAGTCCGGCTCCACGTGACCGATGCCCGCCTGCCCCCAGTGCCGATGGAAACCCCAGCCCCAGGCAAGACCAGCTCCGCTCCGGCAGTGCACGGCCTGCCCCGCGTCCAGGGGAGCCAGGCTGCAGCTGCGGCTGGAGCAGGAGCAGGAGCAGCGCAGCCAGCAGCCATCCTGCAGCACACCGAAGGCTTTCCCAGGCAGCGATCAAAGCTGCACCGCCAACACGCCTGCCTGGGGCAGGGCCCGGAGGCGACCACCCACGCCCCGGCCTCGGTGCCTCTCCTCGCAGCGCCGAGCTGCTGCAAGCCACCGGGCAGAGTCCCAGCGCTTTCCTTGCGACGGACTCTGCCGCCCTGTGTTACTCTCTCACACACACACACACACACACACACACTGCAATGGGTGCGTGTTAGTAACCCCGATGTACATGCAAGGGGCCGGCCCCGCCGCCAGCCTCTGCCGCATGCTAGGGGTGCCCAAAATCTCCCAGGGAGCACGCAAGGCACTAGGGCCAAGGGCATAATCCTGCTGGCAGGGCACACAGCCAGGTGCGGGGCATCTTCTGCCACTCCCAGGCAGCTTGCACCTCGCCGCAGGCTCTCCCATGCAGGGCGGCATGAGCCTGCCTGGGAGCAGCTCATTCCTGCCTCCACCGGGAGCAGGCCACTAGCTTCACCAGAAATAAATCCAGCTGCGTCCTTAGAGGCTCCTGAAAGGCCAGGAGGGGATTAGTGTGTCTCAGTGTCCCGTGCCCCATGGCCGCTAATCCCCGCCAGGCAGACGGGAAACAGCTGGCAGCCCTTTGTGCATCATCGCCTTGAGTTCCTGCGTCTCAGCCCCTTGTCTGCACCCCGGGGCTCAGAGGGACAAGAGCAGCCGCGGCCGAGGACTCCAGGGGACATGCAGGAAGGCCTGCTCTGGGCCTGGAGAGCTCTGCAAGTGCCGCTAAGGCATGGCACAGCTCATTAGCCGCGGGCACAGGCTTCCCTCTCCCTGGAGCCGGGGGGTGGATCAATGTCCCCGTGCCCGGTGCGAGTGCGGAGCTGCCCGCTCAGCGGCTCCTGCCCCCAGATGGCCTGGAGCAGACCAGAAGGGCATGCAGTGGAGGGGCATGGGTGGATTAGGGGTGGCACGGAGAGGAAGGGGTGTTAGTGGCACGCGCACATGCTGCGCGGCACAGCACGGCACGGCACTCTGCAGGGCACCTGCTCAGTCGCTCTCGGGCCGGTACAGGTACTTCATCATGAGGCTGTCCACCTGCTTGCGCCGCTGCTTCTCCTCCTTCTTCCGCTGCTTGCTCGACTTCTCGGTGCCCTCCCCGCCCGAGTCGGGGTCCTTCTTCTTGGGGCCCTTCTTGACGCTGGAGCTGCTGCGGTAGGACACGGTGGAGCCGGAAGAGGTGTCGGAGGACGACCCTGAGCCCGACGACGGCTGCTTTTTCTTGCCCTTCTTCTTGGCCTTCTTGCCGTGCTTCTTGGAGCTCTTCTTCTTGCGCTCCGAGGAAGAGGAGGTGTCTTCAGAGCTGCTGCTGCTGGTGCTGCTCCGCCGGCTCCGGCTGCTGCGGGGCCTGGAGAAGTCCAGGGCAGAGGCCGAGCGGCGCAGGCTGCCGGTGGCACGCTCCGTGCCTTCGGCCTGCGCCGCGCTCCGGCTGCTCCGCACGCTCTTGGCGTCGTCCTCGTCCGAGTCGGGGTCCAGGCTGGAGCGCTTGAACTTGATGGGCTTGTAGCTGAGCACCTCGTTGATGGCAGCCTCCAGGTCGGGGTCCAGGTAGGGGCGGTGGCCGACGGGCCGGATGTCTGCATCGCCCAGCGGCAGCTCGTCGGAGGCGGCGGTGCGGGGCCGCGGGGGCACGGAGAAGCTGC